AATTAAAAAGAAGCAGCTTATAGGAATTATTAAAAAGATATGACTTAAGTCACACAGTTTTTTTTTTTTTTTTTTGAAGAGATTCAATTCTCAAAACATTTCAATTTACTAAAACAAAATGTTGCTTGCATATATTGAAAATACAAGTTTGTTTTGATAAGTGTAAAAACACGCTGTAAGAATTGTGTATACTTTCCGCTAAGTATAACAGGTTTTAGGTCGTTTAGACGGTATTTCTTAAATGTAGATTTAAGAAAAAGGGCCTGTACCAATTGATAGAAGTGATTCAATTTTGACGGATCAAACCAAAAATTTACTGTTTCTCGTGGTGCATACAAATCTGTAAAAAGCATAACAAGGCGAACGTTACTTGCAAGCTATAAAATAGATATAAATTTCAACAATTTCAGCAAAATAGAGCTTTCTCGCGAGCGTTTGTTTGGGTTTTCTACTGTCAAAATTTTACTTTGGATTTGGCACAGTAAAATTCAACTTATTCGTACACCATATTAAATTTTTACAACCCGTCTCACCACGGAAAAAAGTTACCTTTGGGCACACAGACAAAGATCCTAATATGGTAAATTTTCTCAGATTTTATCTACCACAAAAGCAGTATTTTGAAAAACGAAAGTGCGAAAAGTAGAATTCTGTGAGGCAGAATTTCAATACGCGGAATTTTCAAAAGCAGAATTTTGAAAAAGAATTCGATAATTAGAAAAAGCAGAATTAAAAAACCACAGTATTTTGATCGATCAGAATTTTTTAACATTTTGCAGAATTTTGCGATGTAGTATTTTGTAAAGCAGCGTAATGAGACGCTCCCTCACTCTTGCCAACAAATAATGCTTCGGACTGAGTAGGCAGTTGAAAAGTAAAATCCTCTTCCAGCGTCCGAAGCTCACTCTCTATAACTAACTCATCGTGCCCGTGCTGGTATATGGCGCAGAAGCATGGACAATGACAACATCCGATGCTCTTAACTGCAGATAAAGATTTTGTAGAAGATTGAACGATGAGCTGTAAGAGCTTTACAACGACATGGACATAGTGCAGCGAATTAAAATACAGCGGCTTCGCTGGCTTGGCCTTGGCGTTCGAATGAACTACGACGCTAGACCTCTGAAAGTATTCAAATAGGAACCCGCTGGTAGTAGCAGAGGAAGTGGAGATGGTTGGCTTCACTTGGCATTTCCAATTGGCGTCAGTTGGCTCAGAAGAAAAACGACTGCCGTGCTTTATTGAACTCGGCAAAAATCATTTGGGCAGTTACATCGTCAAGAAATGTTGTCGAATGCAGGTCAGACATGGCTGAATTATGCACTGATACATAGTAACACTTGTTTTGATTGGATCCGGGGCACTTCGGCACCACTGGCCATATAACGGGCTTTTTCGTTACACCGCCAACAGAAGAAGAAGATATGCTTATTACTTACTGTACCCGATCCAGCAGGCCGGAAAGTTGTATACAGGGGGATTTAAAGAATTATTTGTGGAGCTTACGACAGCGTGATTACAAAGATTCGTGTATGCCTTAAATAGAAGGGAAGCCACTAGTTTCCTTTTTGGGGTACTAATAGCGCATTTTTTGGCATCGCATACCTAAATTTGAGCCCTAAGCTGCCCAAGAGCAGCAAAATGAATGAGGAGACTTTTGAGCACATGCTGTGGGAATGTCCTGGCGTTCCATTTTTATTTTATCTGGATTAAGCGGTAAAAGAGCACGAAAATTTCTTCCAGTTTTCTAAAAAAACAACATTTTTTTAACGTTGCACGTGGTTCGAAGGATTTGCTAATTTATCCGGCAATAGCTCTTTCTGGTAACACTAACCTCTCCTTACTCAAAAAAAATAATTATTTCACAATACCACAAACAAAATGTTTGTTTAAAGGGCAGATAAATTTTAAAACCTACTTGAGAAAACGGCCCTAAAACTTCTGTCGTGCAGATTTTTATGTATATTTCTCAGAATTTGTTTCTCCGAAAGAAGCTCGCTCTTGCATTTAGTTAACTACTAACGAAATGTTATCACAAGTTCCCTTTATAGAAAGTCTTTCATCTCCCCGTCTTGTCTCAGATTAAGTCAAAGTGTATTTCCTATTTGCTAGTTTAAAGCTTTCAATTCTTGATGTTTATTCGCTTAATGTAGTGACTCAATCAAGTCTTGGCCGCAATTGCCATGCTTCATAGTACATAGTAATTTAATTAATTTGTACAATTAACGCCAACAGCAAAAATTAAGCCGTAAGTAGCAAATCCGAAAACAGACAACTAAAATTAAAGTGTGACAACAACAGCGGCAATTAAAGCAACAACTGCTGTATCAATAGCAGCAACAGCAACAAAAGCAGCTATCATGTCTAATCAGGATAAACGTGTTGAATGTGCAACCACAAACTGCAGACTCCAAGTAAAATGTACGAGTACACGCAAGAATACAGAATAGAAACGAGTATGTGTGAGTGCGAAGGGCGTACATGTGTACATACCCAATGAGAAATGCAAAGGAGTCTGCGAAAAGTGACATTAGAAATTATTTCACACTCCAGCTAAAATTACAACCAGGTTAGTCTTTTTAATCTTAAAAACCAGTTTTTTATCAAACTGCCCGCAAAGCCATATTTAAGTTTTGTAAATAGAGAGGTACTTTAATTTCAAATACGTATCGAACGTTTAAGGCAATATGAACTAAGAGACCTAAGGAGGTCTAAACAAGGCTAGCCAGGCCGATCGTCTGCGAAAACAATTTGGGGATTCACAAGGTATCATAACTAGTCACATTGTCTTAATATTGGAAGTAATCATCGAATTAGATAAATGGTAAATGAGCAACATACTCCATATTTGAAATAACAAGGAAAATATTGCCTGCTTCACTGAAGAGAAATCGAATAAGCCAACATTTTTAGCAGAGCATCCAGAGCTGAAAGATCCCGTACAGTGGTTCTTGGAAGTTCAGCTGACATATTTCCCACGCTATTGATTGAGAGTGTGCTCCACCGCACCACAGATGCATAGCTCATTACGGGTCTTCTCATGAGGGTGTAACATTGCAATTCTGGCTAAGATAGTTCAAAGTCTTTCTTAAGGCAACTAAAGGCAGTAGGCAAGATAGTTTGAAAGTTTTTATTTATTCTCTCTTACAAAAAAAACTCCCTTGCCAACAGAAAGCACCTGTCGAGTGAGCAAAGTACCGGTTTTCCATTCGAGATATTCGATTACGAGTCCTCGTGCGGCGGATTTTTTTTTAATTATTATTTTTTACTTTAATTTCCTTTTAGTTTTTAGATTTTATAGGTTTAGAAAGAAAAATTATTACGTCTTTTCATTTGAACATTCTCAACATTTTTATTTATCTATCGATTTTCTCGTTAGCATGTTGATTCTTTTCTAAAAGAGGCTTTAATACAAATGAAAAAAATAGCAAAAAAACTAGCAATTTGTTTCCTTTTTTCCATGGGAAAATTTTTTTTTCATATACAGAAAAATATATTGGGAAAATTACCTGCAGGGGAATTCTGACAATCGCCAAAATTCTCTAAATGAAAAGCAGTGGAACCTAAAAGTATACAACATGAAAAATTAACAGATGCAATGTGTATTCAGCAAAAGCTGCCAGTATAGGGGGAACCCAGCTAGATATTGCATGTTGTTAGGCGCGCCTGCTTTTATTTTGGAGATTTTTGGCGATCGAAATTAGCGATGGCGGATTTCGGAATCCGACTGCTGTTCTAGAAAAACAGAATACAGATTCGTAATCTATGACTCAAAATTAAGTTTATGTACTTATATTGAGCGATTTTTTTATGATTTCAAAATTTGAGATTTCCCCTACTTCAATGAGTCTTGTGTTATTCTTCCATTTCGCACTGGGTATTTTCCGATGTGTGTATGTATACACACACTAAATTAGCCACCTAAAGGTAGCTATGCTGCGTATAACTTATGTACAAAATAATACACATACACCTTCATTCGTACTCACTCTGACGTGTCATTCACTGTGCCAAACAATTTAACATGCAACCTGCAACACCACCGTTGCTCCATTGCATTTAACCAACTGTAGTAGCAGCTAATAAAATTACGCCCGGCCAATAAAAACGTTGACAGCTGCAACAACATAGTCGTACAAATCTTCCGATAGAAAGTGCAGATAGTAACAACAATAACAGCAGCAGCAGCAGCAGCAGAAACATGAAAAGGCAATGATAATGTGCCGCAAAAGTATTCTGCTCATGTCGTCGTATTTGAACTTTTAGCCTGTAGCAAGTAATTGTAATTTAATTTCCAATTAGCAAACAAGCAACTAATTCGAAAATCCTTGCTGTCGCATGCACTTGCTACACAAGGCACGTTGCATACGTACAAAGAAATATGTATGTATGTATGTTTGTAGGAAACTTTATGATACTCTTACATACGTACATACATATTTGCTTGCGAATACAAGGAAATGACAGCCGCTGCAGATATATGTATATATGTATGTCGGTTTCCAATGTAAAGGTATCTCACACGCAATGTCATTGATGCCACTCAAGGTGGCAATTTAAAAAGGATACATTGAGTCTTCCAAACTATTTTGGTATGAAGTGTACAGTGGCATTAAACACTCCAAAAAGTGCATGTAAAACTACTACTGAAAAGTTTTTGTTTTTGAACCATAACCTGTGCAAATATACGCACAAAATTTTATTTTTAACATTAGTTGTTTAAAAACGTAAATTTACACATTAAATGTTTAAAATTACAAACATTTTTAAAGTAAAAACATATTGCCACACATTGCATTCATTAAGAGGGGAAACTGGTTACCCATCTTAATATTCGCAAATTTAAAAAAAAATTGTTTAGAGTGTAGTGAAACTCAAGATGTTTCAACATTTTCTACACAACAAACAAATTATTTTGCTATACATTTCTGCAACATTTAGTATTTTTTGTTTTCAAATTTGTTTTTGTTAAAAACGTTTCTCCCTTTCTTTCTTTACAGCCCGTAGGTATCTATGCCAAAAAATACGAATGGGCTGCCCGGCCTTCCAGCAACAACGGCGGTAGCCTGCATTTAGACTTACACCCGCCGCCAATGCAAATTGGTGGTGATTGTTCGCTGTGGATACGTTCAGCGACGCTGGACTTCGATGATGGCTTGTGGGAATGCCAAGTGACGGCGAGTGATTTCACAACACAGGATGCACTCACCAGTCAGCCAGTGCGATTGGTTGTCAGAGGTAAGATATAAGAAATGGAGAAGAAACAGCTACATATATACTAAAGGGTTGCAAGAATGCAGACACTAAGAATATATGTGAGTTCTTTTGCTTCACTAGCGGGTAAACTTGTTAATTCATCACCTAAACAAACGGAACTCACACCACCAACCACTTCTTAACGATCGTTTCAACTCAACAACGGCGCTAGACTCGAGTTATGGGATGAATTCATGAGTTATCTCTTGCAGCCCTTTAATACATACATAAAACTCATTACCTGTTTGCAAATATAAAAATAAAAAATAAAAACACTTTATAAAGTCAACAGTGCTAATCCCTTTCCTCCAAGAAATCAAACCGGATCTCAAATGCGAGTTAGAATTCTTGACCGCATTTACTATCAATGCATACGAATATTAGACTTTTGCTATCATGGGAAACCCGCGCCTTTTTACATCAGAGACTATAAATAAAAGTTTTTTTCAAATTTTGATCTCAGAAATTCTTTGTTAAAAAAAAAATCCCAAAAATTTTTGAAAGAAGCCATTAGGATAGTCTCCCACCGTAGCTCATAACTCCTACATGCCTTTCGAAATACTGGCCTTTAATATTTTGAACAAAAGAAACAGATTTTTTCTGCCTTTTGTTTTTACCATTTTTTTGAACTGAAAATAATCGTTAAGTTTTGATTTTTTTCTGAGGCCTTGAAAAAAATTTAAGTTACGATTTTGATGTCAATATTACGAATATGTACTATATGGAATCAGTGGGCTAATTTGTATTTAGTAAACACTATATAAGTACAAAAGTATTTAGGTATCTATAGTTTAGTGAATAATCAAGTATACATATATCACCAGAGGTCTCAAAAATCCTAAAAATCCCTAAATAAGCGCAAAAATCCTAAAAATCCCTAAATAAGCGCAAAAATCGTAAAATTGTCCCGAAAATCCATAAGTAGCCCCAAAAATGCCGCAGGGGTACCGAAATTCGCGAAGTTTTCTGGAAAATCCCGAAATAACGGGTGATTTTTTTGAGGTTAGGATTTTCATGCATTAGTAT